CATTATTTATTCTTTTAAATTCTTTTTTTATTATATGTCTTGGTTTTTTTTACTTACAACCATTCTCTTTTTCTCTCTCTTCCTTTACATGTTTTAGATGAAATAGAATTTAATCGTTTCTCATAAGAATATTAATTAATACACGTGTAAAATTTGTTTGAGTTCAAATATACTTAGGTTTACATACCCAACTCTTTATGGATTATAATTTTTGTCTTATTAAAATAATTTTTTGTACTCTTTCAATCTTCTCACTAAACAATTTTAAATTTCGGTAATATCTTCCACAAAATTTATTTCAGCTGTTTTATTAGAAAAATAACATCGACTACTCTCTTTTTCGATAAGTGAGATAGATTATGAAAATCTATTTTAGTTTTTGATATTATTAAAAAAACTCTAACGGTATTTTGTAAGGATTTTTAATAAATTATGAGCTTATAGGAATGAACTTTCTATTACTTTATATCAATAAGAGTGTTAATACAATATTATATTATTTTGACATAGGAAAATACTATTCAAGACTTTGTGGATCATTCAGTTCTTGAAAAATTTGGAAATTAATTGTGTGAAAAAAATCTTATTGAAATTTACGGTTTTAATTTACAATTAAAAATATTAGATTCCATTAGTTAAGATTTTAGAAAATTAGATATATGAGTAGATACATAATTAAAAGCCCTAATTAAATTAGGAATAGAGAAAAAAAAAACTAATTATTTGGAAATATGTAACAAATTTAATTGAAAAATATAATACAAAAAGAGTCAAAACAACTTAATAACGGTGAGGTTTCTCTATTAGGGTTTTGCACTTTTTGTGTTTTAGTATTTTCAAAGGTTATAAAACATTTATAAGATTTAAAAATTCTAAATAAGAATATGAAAAGTTAAATTACTTCAAAAATTAATAGAAAAAACTATTTAACATAAAAAGATGGGATCAAATTTAATTGAAAATCAAATAAGATAAAAAGTAGTTGTTAAATTTATTTGATATCAACGTTTTCGTTTTATTTTGTTTACTTTCATAAGTGATTTAATTTTGTTTTTTAATTTTTTGTGTTTGACTTTCTACGGGTGATAAAATACTGTGTAGAATAATATTTTATCATAAACCCGCATATATGCGAATCCTTTACCTAGTGTTTACATATACTTGGTGTATGTCACCTTGTATTATATAATAGTCTATGTAGTTTAGAACACATTTATATACTTGTGATGGTTTACTTCGTGTAGTTAAGATTGATTTTTCTTTTTTACTTGCTTAATCATATTATCCCGCGTATACACGGGTAATTATCTAGTATAACTGAAATCAAAATGTAATCAGTTTCCTAATTTTTTGGCGTTTCTAATCATTCCGCATAAATTTCATTAAATTCCCTCTTCTTTTTTGTTTAACTCTTCTATCATTCAACGATTCCATTCACTTGGATACCTGTCAAAGCTATAAATTATTATTGGTTGATTAGGGTTTTTAAGTTTTCAAGCGGTTGAAGAAAACGAAGAAGACAGAGGAATTGTAGAAGTAGTCATGGTTGAAATTTGGGAAGAGGCATGGATACAAAAGCTAATATGACTTTCACATAACGTATAAATACGTAGAGATTAACGACCGAATATAATCGATGCAACCTTTAGCTCTAAGATTCCTCAACACTTAAAATATACAATTTTCCAGATTTAAAGGTTACGTAAAATCAAAACCGAAATCAAGTAGAGACAGACGTGAAAAAGAAAAAACAATCAAGATGAGAACGATTGGGAAATCGAACAAATACAGTAACTAACCATAAATATCTCCGGTATAATCAAATTAGGTTATGAAAACACCTTCCTCAGTGGAAGCTTCTTGAGAGCACTCATTCACATTCACAGGCTTTAACCCTACTGTACCGACACTGTGGCGGTTCTGTGTAGAGACTGACTTGGGATTCTCTTCACCAGACGAGCTAACCGCATCGCTGCAACTCTTTCTCCGAGACAGATTGAGTTTCGGTGACTTAGGACGCGTCAAAGGAAACTAAATATGATTGGCGTAGTTGAACAAAAGAGCATTTCATAAGTTTGCTTGTCACACAAGAACAATGTGAATGGGAAAAAGACATATAATATTGAGGAATCCTAACAAAGATGAGAGGTTTTCTTGAAACCGCAAGTAAATACCTTCTTGAGCTCTGGTTTCGCGGGAGGTCCTTGGTAATAGAAGTTAGGAACAGGATTAGCCTTAAACTTAAGGTTTTTCCGAAGCTGTTTAATGGCTGCTTCTTGTTCTTCCTGCATAATAGCGTTTCAATTTTGATAGTTAAAGGCAAAGAATCATTTACGTATTCTTGGTTTAGTTACAAAACGTAAATCTTGCCTTTTGCCTTTGTTCGAGCTCGTTCTTTTCAGCTTCCAGGGCTTGGTGTTTCGCTTCAAGCTTTTGGTAATACTAAAACCACACAAAGAAGACCTAAACATTTAAGTAAATTTTCTAGTTGTTTAATTATGAGTTTTTTTATGTAAACACTATTCGAGCTAATTACCTCCTTGCGTTTCTCAGCGCGTTGAGCACTCCTAAACCGTGGAGCGGTTCCATGAGTTACTTTCGACTTAGCATTCCTCAGCAATGTTGCAGCGCTTAAGTAGAATATCGTCAAGAATCACCAACAAATAAGTAATAAGCAGATACTAATTATACTAACATATAATCATTATTATAAATAAAGGATACGAAGAAGCAACAGAACAATCATCTTCTTCGTCTTGATCCAAATGCTTCTTGTTCACATCATTCTGATACAAGCAAAAACAAAAGAGTCAAAACCACTTTCATATCTCAATCAATTACCATTGAGGAATTAGTGATTACATTAGAAGAATTATGATTCTGAGAGAGAAAACGATCCTCAGTGCATTGTTTGAGCTCATAATCCTCTTCTGCAGCTATCTTGGGAGACACGTGAACCCTTTCATTTGTCTTCGCCAACTCCACAACTTCTCTTCCCATTTCAACTACTACCATATTGCACCCAAAATAAACACATGACTCTAAATTACACACAAATTCTAAAATCCATTTCAATTAATGCTAAAGATAATATTTCAGGCTTTGTTCATATCAATAAAATGTTTCTTGTGTTCCGAACATTTCGAATCTGGTAGAAATTTTTACTGGTTGATGCAGAGAACAAAATTCACAGAGAGAAAGAAAAAAGTATCAGAACAAACATTCCAAAAAACCCATATGAACTTTTTTATTCATAAAGTTGATGATATTTAAAGTTGTGTACAGATTCAGATATTAAATCAGATTTTCCTCAAACAAACATACAAAAACAGGGCAGGAAAAAAAAGTTAAACGAAGAATTATGAGAAAGTTTTCTTACAAATCTTTTCTGATTGAATTCTTATTCTTGTACCTACTCTTTCCGATCTGCCGTTTGTTTTTATTTTCTTTTTCAGACAAGAAAAAAAAAGAAGAGATCTCTCTGTTATATCTTTCTCTTAAGAAATAAAGATTGCTTCTGATTTTGGCGGTGACTGTTTTAGATTTGGAACTGTGTTTGTTTCGTTTGTTAAGCTGTTGGATATTTATGGGCCCTG